AACTCGATGGCACATAACAATAACAGTTGATACCTATATAGAGAATTCTGAATTTATTACTACCACCCTATCAAGAATTGTGAACTTATTAACACCACCCTATCATTTCCCCCTCTTTTTATATATGTCTTATAGCTATAAGACAAACATACCACCCCATCATGTATATTAAAAATGGAAGGTTCAGCTCGTAATAAGAAGCGCCTGCTACCTTGTGGCAGGAATAAAACCATGATGATTATTAGTATTCCTCTGTTATCATCTTAAAGATGTTTTATTGTACTTGGAAGCATCTCTCTCTCAGTGCAGAAACGTACGCAAAGTACTATAAACTAAGTCAATCATTTGACTAACTGATGTTGGATACGAACTGTTTCTGATAGAGTGGTATTAATAAGTTCAAAATTCTCTATATAGGTACCAGTTATCAAACTATAGTTCTTTTTCTTCAGCCTGTAAAACTAGTTGCTTAGCCTGTTTCCTGTCTTTAGTCATGTAGAATAGTTTGATCTGTGTGTTTACCAGAAGAGGAAAGGCATCTATCATAGATGCTGGTGAAGCTGGTTCTCCAGTCATATGTAAACTGTCTTAATCTGCCTGTTTACCAGGAGGAGAACTGGGGCCTCCCTGAATTACTGATACATAGATAGGGACTGTCCTTTTCAGATATAGAAATCACCTTTTTTTACTAACAAAAGTGCATTGTTAAATGAGCTGGAGTTTCACCCTAGTATATAAGGCCTTGACTAGTCCCAGATGGGAAGGCAGTCTTTGAGGCTGGGACCCTCTGTGTCCTCCACAGATCTGTAATAAAGTGCATTTATGGATATTCCGTTTGTCTTATTGACCACTGACTACGAAAAGAACCCCTTGCGTTCAGTAACAATTCTACAGCAACTTATAACAGCAGCAACATTAGGTCAGCTTGTATGGGGGAAGAGAGATGCCTGACCCACAGAGAGCTACAAGGATCCAAGGAATAGAGGCGAAAAGAGACAAGAACCTTCCCCAGAGCCCACACAGAGATAGCTTTCCTCTGGACACGGTGC